GGAAAGTTCTGGTTGTTCATCCACTTCTGGACTGCAGTCCTGTTCCAGAACCTGAGTGTTGCGTGTGCATCCGTTTGACATATCTGTATGCAGACTGTTGGTTCCTTGCCTCTCAGGCAGATGCACTCCGACTTCGAAGGAAGCTCCCAATTAGTCGACTCTTACGACATGCTTTTGGGTAAGCAGTGGGCCTATTCTTGTTTTTCCCATAGTAGGGCCCCGGAACCCACACGGGGAGAAGATGAAGTATATGGCTGGGCTATTCAAATAAGTTTACTCAGGGGTCCACAGTATCAACAGTGGGGTTCGTCACTAGCCAGAGGTCCCAGCCCCATGTGTAGAAAAATTATTAGCGCAGTAAAATTACCAATGATCCGCTGGTTATTAACTAGGCTTATGCGGGCCGGACTATGCTCCTGTGCCGCCATTTGAATTGCCCTGTCGTGTGGCGTGTAAACAGTATCTTTAATTGTAACATTTCACGCGCTTGATGAAACACGTGAACTTCATTTCAAACATCCACATGTGTCCCGAACAGATTAAATAAAACCGTTGTCTTTAAAAAACGGATCGCACAGTAGCGTCGAAACGCAAAGGTACTTAAAATATACAAACAGCTCTTGAAACAAAGACGGCAATTGCAGCAATCAATCCCTTGTGGGGTAATATCAAAAGTTATAGCTAAGATAATGGCTTGATCGATGTCAGTATAACTGGGGCTGCGTCTTCGGAAATATTGCATCGATCGCTGTGGTATACTGCGTATTTATAGCTAGTTTGTGGTTTTTTGGAGATAATAAGAATATGATTTTAACACTTTGTTTGGAGTGTTGGGCGCACTGAAACCTGGCCAATTATCAAGGAAAGAGTGGCAGTGGTATGGTTGTACTTGTTCTAATTGGGGTTGTTTCGGGATGTCTTTGTTTAACATAGGCTAAGACACAAAGGTTGTTGGGGAGATTCTCTTTGTTGACTCAGTTTGCCCTTCTCTGGGGCCGTTATGGTGGGACGGTTAGTGCGCTTGTCCTCCAGCATGTGGAGCTTGGGGTGGTCCCACACAGTTGATGGTCTTTCTTCTGACAGGTCATGTCGTACAAGGCGGCTATCCAGGGGAGTTTCCTTCGAAAGGGAAGTGCTTGATAGGCGAGAAACCAACATTCTGCATTCAAATAAGCCATATGTGCTTTCTTAATATGGTGGGCTCATTTCATGGTCTGCATCGTTCGGTTTACGAGTGCAGTTGGTTATGGAGATTCACTGAGATCGTCGCAGGAGCTGTCGAGTCGGTGCTTTGTGTGGCGCTCTCCTTTGGTGGCTCTCCGGTCTTTGGAGAGGAGACGGAGTCGTAATAGAGTAAAGCCTGGTGCAATGGAGTTGATCCTCCTGGTTTTAACCGACTTAAATGTTTAACATTCTGCAGTCTTTCTTTGTCAGTTGAGTTAAGAAAGAGAACGAACGAACAAACGAACAAACTTTATTTTCGAAGGGTTACAAATTGGGCACGCAGGCCCGTCTGACATTCCTAGAAGAGAATTCCTAAAAGCTATATAACTCCTAAAAGTTTAAGTTAAAGTGGAGGGGATCAGCTTCACTGCACCGGATTTCATCCCTTATGACTCGAATATCTGTTTCCGCAGGACGGCCTGCCGAAAGCGCCGCGCAGCGCACGAGCTCCAGCGACGACCCCAAGGAATCTCCATAAAAATTGCTCTCGTGGACTGAAGGGCACAACCGTGAAACGAACCTACGACCTTCAGAGTGCGAGGTAAATGGCTTGACCACTTTGCCACTAATATAAACCCTATCCTGATACACGGAAGTGAATCATAGACAGTTGGGCGATTAGTGACACACTATATGAAAGCGGCGTAGATGTGCTTTTATAAATAATGATTGGAGCACTCTGGACAGAGACATTCTACATGCTTTGGTCATGTCATAAGGAGAAAACTGGAGTACATCGTGACAGCGGGAAGGTTGAAAGGAGGAAAAGAGGCAGAGAGAGACCAATAAATGATGCCGGACTGTTTAAGGTCAAAGATCGTCAGTGTCAGAACTGATTGAATTTACACGAGACAGAAGATTGTAGATAGACGTGACTAGCAACGCCACACGGCAGGAATTATAAGAAAAACATTTAATCCCTGAGTCCACATAACTTTCGGGGCTGCCCCCCTCCCATTCGGTAATATTATTGGTCAGTTCACGTTTCCCGGCCCATCTACACACTGGTTGACCTTTCATTCATACTTTCCCAGACTCTTTTACGTCGGAGGGGTGTCACATTGTCTTGCCTCTAATTACGTGAGCGCCGATTTTGCGTGTTCTTTAGTACACTACGACACAGCTTTCAACGACCCAAGAACAAGTAGAACTGGCGCTAACTCCCCCCCCCCCCCCCCTAACCCACAGCCTGAGACAGGTCATACAAGAGACTCTTTTCGAAGAAAGCAGTACAACGTTACACCCATCTGACCTAGATGGGATTGAGAAAGTGTGTGGATGCGCCAGGATACGTCAACAGGTCCATATTATTATATATGTTTGGTTATTGTTTTGGGTTCTCTTCCCAGATGTATGTTGGGATTACTACTGCTTTTTCGCGTGCTATATAAGTACTGATCATTATCTGTGATTTCTTTCCGGGTTTTTTTCAATGGCCACCAGTGTTCCGCAGCAGATGATATCACCATCCGCCGATGATGTCACGCTGGGCAACATGTGTTATTGAGAAAGACTTTTCAGCCCTAGCGTCTTTTTCAACCCCCCCCCCCCCCACCCCACCCTTTCTGTCCCCTTTCCAATCTGTGCCCACGTGTCACTCAAGTTTGCCTTTATCGCAAGATTTAAAGCCAATAATCGGCCAGATTTAATCCCGGTTTAAAATAAATATCCTCTCCCCACGCACGACAGTTGTGCCTGCAGTCACTTAGCATATCTAAGGCAAGGAAATATAAAGAAAGCCATGGAAGTTAGAGCCTTGCGTGCATGATCAACCGTGATCCTGTTTACCTGAGCACGTGTGGTCGCTGGTGAATGAGCAGTGTTTTACTGGTTGCCTTAATAGTGTAAAGAAACGGTTCTCAACCTGTGGGTCGCGACCTTTTTGTGTGGGTCGAACGACCCTTTCACAGGGGTCGCCTAAGACCATTAGAAATCACATATCCATTGAAGAAATGAAGGAAAATAATTGTTTGCGGGTCTCCATAACATGAGGGAACTTTACTAAAGGGTCGCGGCATTAAGAAGGAGGGTGCTATAATAATATCCTACCCCAAACAGGGGAATTCCCAGGTCACGGCACAGTCTAATATTTCAGGGGGTGATAAATAAATTGCGTGCAGTCGTGGGACCTAGGCTGCACTCTCTTATGGGACGTAGGTGGGTTGGGGTTAGGGCCAGTTCTACGTGTTTTGGGTTCGTTAAAAGCATCAGAAACCGGGAAACCTAGTTTTACCGCCCTCTAAAATGTTGGGCTGTCCTGTGACGTCATCTGGGGGTAAGATATTAATAAAGAACCGGAAGCATGAGAGCCACTGGTTTAGTCTTTCGGATTGTCTGGGATCTAATAGAGATCGAGTCGTGTTATCGATTGCAAGGGTCCTCGTGTATGTTCAGCCGCCCCATTTAGGGAATAGAACCCCTGTCCCATAGCAGTCATGTCGTAAGAGGCGACTAATTAGGAATCTGCTGAACTCGGATGTGTTGGGCCCAGAGGCACAAATTTCACAGACTAGCTGTAAACTGCAACAGAGTATGGTTAACGCGGAAGAATAAAAAAGGATTGAAAGGTAGTTCTTTTAGAGGGTTGGCAGCCGCGGCAGCTCAGTTAGGTAGACGCTTACTCGTCGGTCTAAATGACTTGGATTCAAATCGTCATCGAAACGGTGTTTTAAAAATAAAATTTACTCAGCCTGCGGTCGACCTAGCTTAAAATTGATGCGGAGACTGTGTGTAGTTAGTAGTAATACCAAGAAACAGATTATAAACAGCATTTTCACACCAATACAGGCTACCAGTGACAGACTTGGACATTATCAAAAGCTAACTATAACTAATCTTCGTAAAAAAAACACATATGAACTAAGATACCTGAAAAAAGACGCCAACTTAACGATCCGAGACTAGGTTAGAAATGATATTATCAGAGAGAGTGTGGGAACAACATCATGCAGCAAATTCTTTGAGAAACAGAAGGTCAACTGGTTTGATCATTTTTTAGCAGCTAGCAGCCAGAACAACTACCAGTGCAGGCCGGTGAAAGCAAGAGGTCACCCTAGAATATAGATTGATGACATTAAGAAGCTTCTACATTGACACGGAATGACAATTTCCAGTGCTGCCCGTTAAACAATGGATCGCAAACTTTTCCTCCCCACAACGCATAACTATGCACGTAGAAATTGATGACGATGACTGAAATTTTTTTAAAGTTACAGACAAGACTACAGGGCTACTAAATACTCGAGATCAGTGTGAAACCAGAAATACCTTGTAGAGAAAAAATACGGACATGAAAGTCTTTATTATTGAACGACATAGATAAGAAGGCTTCCGAAACTAAAATAGGACCGCGACTATAAACAAGTTGAATATATGTCCATAAAAATTCTATAAAAATGATCCAGGGAGCTCGAATCACAAATTGACATCTTGTAAACCCTTGGTCCGTTTTCTGGAGGTGCTGTCCTGTAAGACTGAAAAAGCCAGATGCGAGTCATTTTCCATTGATATGTGACTGGTTTGATCACCTGAGCGAGATTTTAACGCAGCAATAAGCATGCAAGCGAAAGGAGACTGGTTTAAGAGCCTGTTTGTGATATCCATAAGAAGTTCATTGAAGGGATCTGCTTCATTGTGGTTTTCCCGATATGTGCCGTTTGCATTTTTGGCAGATGATGGCATATATAAAGTTTCGCATTTCACAAGTAAATACTTCCGTCATTTAAAAAATAAACCCTTCGGAAAACTAACCGAGGGTTTATAAGATGTCCATTTGTGATCCGAGCTCCCTCGATCATCTTCCCGGAGTCTTTATGGTTTAAGATTACAACAACAATAACTATACATTCTTATTATCTGCAGGTTTGTTATTTCCCTCGCCTATGACGAACGCAGGAAGTGGCTGATATCGGCATCAGGGGTAGGTTAGCGTTGTTGTAACAATGTATTATTATTATTATTATTATTATTATTATTATTATTATTCAAACTTTCTTCTTCTTCTTCTTCCTCTTTTTACTCTTTCTTCTTCTTCTTCTTCTTCTTCTTCTTCTTCTTCTTCTTCTTCTTCTTCTTCTTCTTCTTCTTCTTCTTCTTCTTCTTCTTCTCTTCTCCTCCTCCTCCTCCTCCTCCTCCTCCTCCTCCTCCTCCTCCTCCTCCTCCTCTTCCTCTCCTTCTCCTTCTCCTTCTTCTTCTTCTTCTTCTTCTCCTCCTCCTCCTCTTCCTCCTCCTCCTCCTCCTCCTCCTCTTCCTCTCCTTCTCCTTCTCCTTCTTCTTCTTCTTCTTCTTCTTCTTCTTCTTCTTCTTCTTCTTCTTCTTCTTCTTTCCCCTCTTTGTGTTTCATAGTTGCTAGAAACCATATCCTTGTTTCCCTGCCGTTATCATACCTCGTAGAGTACTGCCACTGTCTGTTACTAAGACTTCATAACTGCACCAGCAACTTCCGAGACAAGAACCATTCAGACAGTATACTTTTGTCAGTCTGTGAAGGAAAACGTCCAAAAATCTCTGCATGATTCTTTGCAATTATTTTTACACTTGAGCTCGCAAATTTATTTAGTTTTGTAGAAATGTACCAGTGGATTCAAGTGCAGTGACATTCTAGTTATTTTGTTATCAGCTCTTCACAATGTGTGTCCTATCCAATGTCAGCTTCTCGTTCTCACCACTTACTTTACTGTGGATTGTCCCATTCTCTCCCAAAGCTCTGTATTTGTCTTCTTCTTATTATTATTAGTTTCTTTCATCCATTTCTTGACTTTGGCCTTGTCCAGAAACTTGTGTGCACATCTGTTTTATAGTTCTGGCTTATTTGTATACAGACTGTTGGTTCCTTGCCTCTCAGGCAGGTGCACTCCGACTTAGGAGGTAACTGCTAATTAGTCGCCTTGTGCCACATGCTTTTTAGGGAGACAGTGGGTGTACCCCCCCCCCCCCCAATCCCCCTCTTTGACAATGCGACCCCGGGACCCACACGTAGCTTTGTATTAGTGATTCTCTTAGGCATAAGAGAATCTGCTGCCTGTGATTGTGGAGCAGAAAGACAGGCCCCTGAGCACATACTACAGTACTGCCCTAACCTCTCCCAGCAAAAACTATGGATCTGGCCCAAGGGAGCCACATTGCAAGAGAAGCTATGTGGAACCGGTGGCGACCTTAAACGCACAATCCTATTTGTGACCCAGACGGGACTCAGTGTTTAGCATGACTGATGTCGAACGCAGAAGAAGAAGAAGAAGTGATTCTCTTATATCAACATTTTATTGACACTGTACTAGTCCTCTTGCATCTGTTGTCTCTAGGATGCCACCCTGCGTGTGTGGACTTTGAGTGGCAAGGAACTATGCTGCAAGAGCGTATTGTCGGATATCCCAGCAAGTAGGTTTTCATACCTTTTTTAATCTAGAGATGTCCATGCACCTTGCCTTGGCTTCGACAGTTTCGACTGGACGTAAATTTGCCTAGAGAAACCACACAACAGTCAGAGGCTGCTGGGGTTGGTTCTGCAACGTCCTGTAAAGGATACGCAATTAACATTAACTTACCTGCTGATGTAATCTGCAGGGATTGACCCTATGCTGAATAAGACAGAAGACATCCCAGGAACCTGTTGTACACTTAATTTGTACATTCTTTTGTATACTTTATATTCAACCAAGTATTTAGGCCTAGGGTGCCTATTCTAGTATTCCGCTGGATATCTCCTTGATGGATGTGCTACAGTGAAGTCCTGCATTCTATAACTGGCACACTTGGCACCGACACAGCATCATGTAATACAGTCGCTACCTTTACAAGCCAACAATAACGCTTGTGACAGGCCACATAAACTTTAATGGCATTAAAGTTACACGTCACAAGATGATGATGATTATTCAATTAAAACATGTACGATAATAAATCTCCATTATCTATTCTGATGATATAAAAGATTACAGCAGCTTTTCTCAATGGGCTCCTGCCATTAAAATAAGTAAATAGACATTGAACTGTCTCCCGCAAACAACGGTAAATCAAAACCTCACAAAGAGAAAACGTTTCTATAATATCCTCATACAGAGAGCCAACACAGTTTCCGCTAACCCCGCGGAAACACGTCCGACTTGGACAATGGAAATATCTCAACTGCCGAATCCTTTGTGTTCTGCAGGAGCCTTTGTGTTAATCGCCCAGCATTCAATTAGCTGGTATCCCAGGTAACAGACCCGACCGGTGGCCGCTGTGTGAACCTTTCACCTGCGCTATGACCACTAGAAGAAACTAGAAGAAACTTTAACTCTTGGACTATAAGATTACAACAGCTTATCCCCCCCTCTCACAAACTGAAAATCTATGTTTTCAGTTGCATAATTTTAACTCTGTTGTAGTCATCTAGACAACTTATATTCGAATATACCTAGTGAAATCAACATGCAGTTAAGTGAGAATGCATGTAAACGAAATGATGATAACTTTTGTTACAATAAGAATGCATGTAAACAAAATGATGATAACTTTTGTTATAATAAGACATGAAATAAACAACAAGAAATACAATATAATATCATAACTGGTTCACTTATAACTCATAAGCTAAATCCACATATCATAATTACTGTCAATCCCAATAAATGGAATCATCTGTCCAAAACACTTGAGAAATTAACTAACTAAACACTTCTCATAGGTATGTCCTTGAAATATACATATCTGGATAAAGTATGTTGATACCAATATATAAGCATCCATTGCAGTGTAGTGAGGTATAAAAATTCCAATGTGAAAAGGAACTGATTGTCTCATGACGTACAAGGAAATCTGGACAAATAGTCAGCAAGGACGTTCTCCTTACCACTCCGGTAGATGATGGTATAGTTAAACGTCTGAAGAAACAATGTCCAACGAAGAATACGGGCATTTGTTACAGACCCTGTGTTCAAAACAGCAAGTGACTTGTCTGTAATTACATAAAACGTTCTCCCTATTAGGTACCTGGAGAATTTAGCGATGGACCAGTAAATTCCCAGTGCTTCTCTCTCTCCGACACTATAGCGTGTTTCAGTGTCGGACAATTTGCGACTTGCATAGAGGCAAGGATGTAAAGTCCCATCGTACATTTGGGAAATTACTGCTCCCAGTGCGACATTTGAAGCATCCGATTTAAATCCACAGATGCGATCCTTAGGCGTCGTACTGCTATCCTTAGGCGTCGTACTGCGTTCCTCAGGCGTCGTACTGCGATCCTCAGGCGTCGTACTGCGATCCTCAGGCGTCGTACTGCGATCCTTAGGCGACGTACTGCGATCCTTAGGCGACGTACTGCGATCCTTAGGCGACGTACTGTGAACAGGGACCTAGTAGTAATGATGCGAAACTCAAGCATCCACTGCTGAACTCCGTTGAAGAATGTCAATTACGGTAGAACAAACGCGTAATTCTATAGAGTCAAAAAAACACTGCTAATGTCACCAGCACTTTATACAGCTGTAAATGGCAATCAATTAAGGCCTACTGTTAGTTCACGTATGTCCGATAAGTTCGTAAAGCTGCTAGAAACACCCGTTAGCACTGCATACACTTAAAAAAATAGTTTATAACTCCTTTCAGGATCCGTTAATTTATAACTTTATGTAGAACAGTTATATGTATTCGTTCAAACGATCATCAGTCAGTAGCACAAACACTGGGTAAATCAACACTGTTTATAAATCCATCAAAGGACCGGCTTGGCCATCCACTGTTGTACACTTAATTTGTACATTCTTTTGTATACTTTATATTCAACCAAGTATTTAGGCCTAGGGTGCCTATTCTAGTATTCCGCTGGATATCTCCTTGATGGATGTGCTACAGTGAAGTCCTGCATTCTATAACTGGCACACTTGGCACCGACACAGCATCATGTAATACAGTCGCTACCTTTACAAGCCAACAATAACGCTTGTGACAGGCCACATAAACTTTAATGGCATTTAAAGTTACACGTCACAAGATGATGATGATTATTCAATAAAACATGTACGATAATAAATCTCCATTATCTATTCTGATGATATAAAAGATTACAGCAGCTTTTCTCAATGGGCTCCTGCCATTAAAATAAGTAAATAGACATTGAACTGTCTCCCGCAAACAACGGTAAATCAAAACCTCACAAAGAGAAAACGTTTCTATAATATCCTCATACAGAGAGCCAACACAGTTTCCGCTAACCCCGCGGAAACACGTCCGACTTGGACAATGGAAATATCTCAACTGCCGAATCCTTTGTGTTCTGCAGGAGCCTTTGTGTTAATCGCCCAGCATTCAATTAGCTGGTATCCCAGGTAACAGACCCGACCGGTGGCCGCTGTGTGAACCTTTCACCTGCGCTATGACCACTAGAAGAAACTAGAAGAAACTTTAACTCTTGGACTATAAGATTACAACAGAACCCTAATAAGCCACTCGGCAATAACCTCTCCGGCAGTTACACTAAGTCAAGTAATCTATTCAATTAGTAATTTAAATCCCCTCAGTGTGGCTGAGAGGTAGTAAGTAAAGTTAAGTAAGTAAAGATCCCTTTTCACGCCTTTAGGCGCATTGGGCATATGGGAAGAGCACCTCATATTTTTACAGACCAATCGGCACTGGGTGGGCTTTGTGGTCAGCATTACACCGGCTGTCTTTACTTTCCCAGGACATCCATTCTGGTACCCATTTTAGGCTGGGTCGACCTGAGACGCCCCTTACCATGATAAAAATCCACGCTGACAGCCGCGGTACGTTAAAATTACGAGTCGGACTCGCAACGCCTAAG